GTCCTGCCTGAGGGCAGACTGACCTCGCCGTTTCCTCCTTCACCGCTGCTTTTTCTCTTTTGCTGAGAAATTACCCCCCGTTCCACTCCTGTGTGATGCAAGTGGAGCGGAAAAAGTATACAACTGCTGCTCTTGAGGATTCATCAAAATTACAGTTAGCTTTTTGGACGTGGCACAATCAGAGAAAATGGCTTTTTTGTTTGTTTGGTTTTTTTTGTTTTGGTTTTTGTTTTTTACACTGTCATCTCTTTTTCTTTCCCTTTTGTCTCCCCCGGTGCCAACTCTCCAGGCTGTGTTTCACATTGTATCTCTGCCAAAGTGGACATATGGCACATGAAATAGCATGTGTGGGGGAGAGAGAAGAGAAGAAGAGAGAAGAATAGGATGCCATGTGTTGTGTGCCTATAAACCAAAATGACTGGACGGTTATTTAAGCATGACATTAGGAAACACAGCCATTGTGGTCATCCAGGCCACGGAGAGGGGATTATCAGAGAACAGGACGTGGTCCTGCCCCAGGACACGGAGCACGCTCTGATTTGATCCTCCACTCTTGTGTCTTCCCCACGGCTAAATGCAGTTAAGAATGGGTGATTCCACTACAGTGGGAGGGGCTTCCACTCATCCGTTTAAACAGGACCCGGCTAGCGTTAGCCTCTGTCTGGTAGACACGCCTGTGGTTGTGGCTGACTGTCGCTGGAACACGGACGAGCTGTGCAGCGTCTATTCAGGAAGTGATGAAGAGCCTGTTGTGTTTAAACAAGGTAAATCAATAGGTTTTGGAGAATTGACCCCCAACCTGAATTTATCATGTGTCCACACGGGACATTATTTACTGCAGTTTGTCAGAAGGCTGACGGCCACAGATAAAAAAAATTTAAAAAATCTTCTCGTCATCTACAGTAAAACTCTAAGTTCTAACGTGATCCGATCAAAAGCAGTGAGATTATTCCTTTTCATTTTTCATAATTTTAGCCAAAAGAAAGAACTCATAATATTTCACTTAAATTTTGGGCCCAGAAAAGTCTATTATTATAATTATTATTGCACAATTTTTCTGCCCACAAATCAAAGCAATTTGACTTCGGCCGTCTGAAGATTCACTGATCGTGTTCGTTGAACACAAAGTGGAGTTGACGAAGCTCAACCATGTGATCCACTGGCCCAGTGAACTCTGGCTCACTATCCCACTGCTGCAGCGTGTTGACGTCATGAACACTCTCTGCCGTCTCCTCAGAAATGTTCCCTGTTCCTCTTTTATGCATCAGGTCACAGAACAATCGCAACGTAAGAAGCGGGTCACACGCTCCAGAGGAAAGAAACGTCTCCTCCGTGATGGAAATGCATTAAGCTGACAAGACGGAGCAGAAGCTAATGTGAATGTGGCCGCCGGGCAGGAAACCGCTTGTCTACCAGCGCATCAGAACAACCTGGGTCACAGTCGGCGTTCTGTTGTTGGTCATCAAAGAGGACACCAGAGTGCCAGTGGCAGAGCGGCTGTCACTGAAAGCAAATATGTATTTTTTTTTTACAAACGGAAAGCTGGAACCTCCTGTCACTCTTGTCTGGTGAAAAATCTCAGAAAAACCAACGTCAGGTCAGAGGAGCAAACATTGATTTCCAGCTGCTGACAAAGGAAACGTGACAGTTTTTGCATTCAACGTCAGTGGATTGATTCTTTTAAGCCCAGATCTGGTAACAAGTGGCTGAGAGAGTGACCGTGAATTCATCACGATCCCTGTTCTATCTGTTCTCCTTTGTTTGTTAACTGCACTTTGGAGACATTTAGGGTCGATTTCAGGGGCGACTTCTTTTACTAATCAGCTTTTGGCACAATCGTTGGGTGTTTCCAGACGTTAACCTTTAACCTGTGTCCTTTATTCATCTACAGTGATTTTTGCTAAACTCTTGACTTATTACTGGATCATTCCAACCTATTTCATTTGACATTTAATCCATTACCTTTTCTCTAGATCTCAGCTAATTAGTGTGGACCAACAACGTCTTTACTGAAGTCAATTATTATCTGATTAATATTTTAAAATTTGGATTGTTTACCAGATTTTCTTGCATAGTTTTTTTGTGTGTCGTTCCTCGGTGCTGTTGACATTTACTGGCTAAGGGCGACACACTGACAGGCCACCTGACTGAGCGGTGGAGTCCCAGTGACGTCAGCAGTGAGACGACAGCAGCAACACCTCAGGGATCTTTAACCTTCTGTTCCTCATTTTCAATGGAAAAAAAACGTCTTCCTTCTTAACTCGATTCCATTCCTGGAATAACAATAATCTACAAATCTCTACGATTTGTCCTCCGAGATGGTTTTTATTTTACCCTCATCCTCTCTTTTATCGCAGCCCATCAAATGTTCCCTCTCTGCCCCAGATTGTTGGGGGATTCCTGGGCTCACTCCTTGGGTGTTGTCCATTAAAGCAGATGCTGTTGTTTCTTCTAGTTCTGTCAGGGAGCCCAGGCAGAACCACTGCAGCCGGGCCGCTGCCCAGATGGACTCTCACTGCTCACACGCTACAGCCGAGCTCCAGTGAAGACAGGACACAGACGTTTAACCACATCCTGTGTGGCGTTCAGGGAGAACACGGTGGGTGGAGGTTTGATTTTCTTTTTGATTTTGGTTCCTTTTGCTTCATTCTGAGCCTCAGATTAATCAAGCTCCGTGTTGTAGAAGGTGAACACCAGCAGCTGAACACCAGCAGCTGAACACCAGCAGCTGAACACCAGCAGCTCAACACAGCTCAACACCTCTGTTTGTTTATCTCTGCCTCTGGTTCTTTTTCAGCGCGTGAGCTTTCGTGCACTTTGTGTCTAAAGTTAGAGTGATCTGCCAATTAGAACGCTCCAGCATCATCCTGAAGAATGTCTCAGCCTGCCGCAACGACCGACACACACACACAAACACACACAAAAACACACCATGCTCAAAAACAGTCAGTTCACACAGTGTGTGGTCCACGTCGCCTCCAACGTGCCTGGGGTGCAGCCCAAGCGACAGACGGCGACAGAGAGAAAAATGGTGCAAGAAGTTGCACCTTCACAAAAACAACAGGTCGATGAATTGCAAACACGTCCACACACTCCTGCGCTAACGAGACACAGATACTTTCGCACCAGCGGGAGAAAAAGGGAATCGGTCTGTGGTCATTACCATATGCCAAGAACAAGTCCTGGGGTCTTTGTCCCCTCAGCTTCAGTCAGGCCTGAACTGTAGCTGTTATAAAAACGTCTGCAGCAAAGTTGTTCTACATCACTCATCAGTATTTCAGTCTCATTGATTGTGTTTTCATCAGGGAGAGAAAACTAAGGAGAAGACTTTCTTCTAGGCGTTCCTCTCATTCCTGGTTCCTGTTCTTCAGGACTGAAGGATGGACACATGGTCACATGGTCACATCTGGTGAGCAGCATCCCATATTTGTTCCCACTGGACACTTCTGGTATCCTCCAGCCCATATCTTGTCTTCACTCCACCTGGTCACAGTGTAATTCCATTACGAGCCACTTCTATTCATCAAAATCTTGTTCGGTGTTTTTTTTTTCTCCCAAAGTGTGTCTCTTTCTTTAATTCCTGCCAGTCCCAGAGCATCATGTTCAACTAAACAGGCCCAGGTTTCACACCGAGAAACTAAAAGATTATTATATTTCGTTACATATTCTTTTTGTGACCTTTTTGTTCAGTGGTGGGAGGTTTAAAAAACAAAAAGATCTTTACAGTATTGTATGATGAATCACGCTTGTTTTAAATGTCACTGTCCTTCATTTTCTAGTGCAGCTCTTCAGAGTCAAATCCCACTGAACCACCGCAGCAAAGTTACAAACACTGATGACAAAAACTGTTGTGTTGCAGGGAATAGGTTTTGTTTCCCTGCTCCTTTGAGCAGAGCTGAGCAGTTTTTAGTCAGCCACCGACTCGGCTGCTCTCCTGGGACATTAACCAACACAACACCCACGCGTGTCACATGTTTGATGCTGCGGAGGACGCCGCGGTTGAAAAGGGTCAAAGACCAAGAAATGGACGCTGAGACTGTTCATTTAAAGGAAACACACAGCTTAAAAAAAAAACATATCTTACATTTAGCAGATAAAGCCAATCGTTTGAGCTGACGTGAGCTAATTTGAGCCAGATTATACTTCACTCTGAGAGGCTTTAATATGGGATAACACCAGGTTGTTGACGGCCGTCATGGACTGTAATCACTGCAGGTTTTCCTCTCATTGACTCATTTGCAATCCCTGCCTGCCCGTGAGCGACTAAAGTGTATCAATTAAAGATTTATCGAAGGCAGTACACACAGAACCAGTGATCTGGATTAAATATTTATCGGGAAGACGCTGCTCCGGATCCCACGGAGCCTGACTGTTCCGGTGGCATCATGATGGCTGCAGCAGAGGTGGCTTTAGGACATGGATCGAACAAACATTCGCAGGAATATAGTTTGACGTTTTCTCATCTTCTAAAAACACCTGCCTCTCTCTCTTTGTTTTTTTTTTTTTCTCCTTTTAGATTTGGCAGCTTCAGTTAAACGCGGCATCAAGCCAGGGTGGCAGCACAGAGAGGTAACTCCAACAGTGAGGGGAGTTTGAAAAATAAATCAGGGCCCGTTGCCAGAGGTTTCCACCACTGCTGCATCAAGTCACAACCGAGGGTTATTTTTAGCCTCACCGCCGCCTCGTCACACTGGAGGAGAGAAGAAACCCCCCCACCCACACTTTAAAGAGGTGGAGGACGGTGGGAGGGAGCAGTGTGTTTGGGGAGTGAGGGAGAAGGAAGGGGAGATCACATTACTGCGAGATGGTGGTAAAACCTGGACTCTTTGACGCCTGTCACGAGGAATGTTGTTGTTCTTGATAAATAACTGACATTTAAATCACAGATTCAACCACATATTGACAAATATTTTTTCATCCAAATGTGCAGCACTCATGGAAATGTCTAACCTGGAGCTCAACTTAAATAGACTGCGAATCTAAAACAACATCTGGCCCACAAAAGTAGACCACCAGTCGTGGCCCACCAAAGAATAATCATGGGCCATATGAGAAGACACAGGCTAGAATCTAATAATATGACAATGTTTTTATTTTTATTATTATTATTATTATAGTGCTAAGAATTAGTTACAAATGTGTTTGTATTTTGGAAGTGGCTGTAAATTGCAACTCATATTTGTTCCATTTTGATCAATTTCTTCCTCAATTCTAAAATGCTCTGTAACACATTAAATATATTTTATGTCTTTTGTTACAGATATTCAACATAATTTGTTAATTTGAACTCTAAAATTTTGTTACCGATATTCAACATAATTTGTTAATTTGAAAAGTTTTGTGCTGATTGCCTCCCCTGACATGGCTTCAAACCCACAACCTTCTACACATCCTTGTTTATGTATGAGCCGTGCCTTGATTCTCAACCATCTTCAGGTCAAACCTACCTGAACTCTGGAGCCAGGTTCTTCCTCAGTCCATAGAAAGCGGCCGATAAAGTCAAAAGCCAGCGAGGAACAAAATTCCCATTTTCACACTCCAGGTAGGGTGCAGACCATTTGACGTGGGTTTTGTCAGGAATGAAACTCTCTCCCCTCTTCAGAGAGTTGTCCACTGAAGTGAAGTCCTGGCTCAGGACCCTCTTGTGGAAAGTGGGCTTCTTCCTGTCCTTAACTTCGTGGTACCACTCTGTGTCTGCGGTTCTGTTGTGGAGGTAGTGGTGTGCCATGTTGGACAGGTCCTGGAGGACTATCTCTCCACCAGCTCTGGTGGCTTGGAGCAGCACCGAGGGCCCAGCCACCGACGAATCCGAGCTAAAAGTGACGATCGCCCGGTGGATCTTGGCGTCTCCCTCCAAGATACTCCGGACCAGGGCGTGATACCACTCGATGTCTCTCCGCAGACTCTGCTCCCTGGACCTGTTGGTCTGCAGGATCATGTTGAGGAAGTTTGTGGCGTGCAGCACGGTGTCCAGCACGCTGCTCATGGAGAAATGCGGGGTTGCGTGCTGTGACCTTCCCCGCAGAGAGGTGAGCTCGTACCTGCGGGAACAGTTGGCGTGTTTCAGCGTGGTGGAGTCCCCCGTGTGCAGGAAAGCCGTCACCACCCGGGGAAGACTCTCCTCGATTTTCTGCGCCAGCTCCGCCGTCTCCCCGGGTGAGGAGAGAGGATGAGGCTGAGGCTGAAGATGAGGAGGCGCACGGAGTTGCGCCAGCTGCCGAGCGCGAGTCTGAGCGCCGCGGACCGCCTCGTGTGTCCTCACATCCCCGCTTTCCGGGGACAATTTCGCGTATTTGTGGCTGGCACCGATCACAAATCCCACTTGGAGCAGCAGCGACAGCCGGAGTGCAGCCATATCTCCCTCCACACGGCGCCCACAGATGGTTCTTGGGGGGGGAGATAGCTGCGCGGAATCACACCGTCGTCTCGTCTGGCTGCCTCGGTAAGAGAAGTGGGAAGATGAGGCTCAGCTAAACCATCTCTTCCTTCATCCACCACTTGTAGGATGCGTCTGTTGTTGTGGAGATGAAATAAAGGGGGAGAAAACGTCAGGAACTCCCTTCCTTCCTTCCTTCCTCCTCCTCCGCCACCGCGTCAAATCCCTCTTTCTTTTACTGATGCCTCATACAGCTTGTTGATGTTGAGTATCCGCTTGCAACTCTCTCTCTCTCTCTCTCTCTCTCGCCTTCGCTTCCTCTCTCTCTCTCCCTCGCTCTCTCTCTCTCTCTGTTTGCAATGACAGAATCTAACCCTAAGAGATTTGCATCAAGCAAGCGTCTAAAGGGAACTTGATATTTATAAAGGATTATGACTTTATTTACTCACATCTACATGTGTTTCGGTGTGAAGGAGCCTCTCACTCCCGGCTGAACTCCGCCCTCTCCTGACCGCAGTCAAGAAGACGTTAAAGCCGAAGCCGAGAACCACAGCCCGGTCTTTTCATGGAGCTCCATCCGCCGAGAAGCGCCTTCATCCTGAGAGAGAGAGAGAGAGAGAGAGCTGTCTGGTGCTGAAACAGATGGAGCGGTTAGAGAGCTGTCCAGTGCTGAATCGGATAAGGCCAATTCAAACGCTTAATTCGGATCAATTGATCGACTGGTTGACCCGACTTTGGTCATCCAGGGGTCGTTAATCATATATATATATATATTAGCAGTTTTAACCAATTAAATAAGATTTAATTCTTAAAAAAAATGTTTACTAACTAGCTTTAAAAGACAATATATTAATATGAGCCAGGTCAGTCTTAACAAGCTGAATATTTTCATTTCTCTTTAGCATTTTGTTTTTTTTTCTGCATGGTCTTTTGACCTAAACCAAACCCTCCAGCTGAATCTTTTCATTTCTCTTTTGTTTTTTTCTGGATTTTGTTTTTTTCTGGATGGTCTTTTGACCTAAACCAAACCCTCCTGGACAGAATTATTCACTAGTTTCAACAGTTTTTAAAGATTAAAACCATGACCAAAACAAGATGAATGTTTCCTTAAAATTCCGTTTTTGTTTTTTTTTTCACTTCTCCAATCACAAAATCCCTAAAATTCCGATTTTTTTTTCACTTCTCCAATCACAAAATTCACAGCTCTGACCACATCTACACAGCATTGTCTTTGCATTAGGTCCCAAACAAGGTATAAAAATACATTTGATGAATGAAAAATATTTCCAAAGCCTCTCAGTAGTGACGACAATGCCTTACACTTTTCCTCCTCCCCTCTCTCTCTCCTGAGTGTTGGATCCTGACATGTCAAGCTCCGTGGTTCAGAGGCATCTCGTCCAGGAAGCCGGGTGAAGACAGGCGTGACGAAGGGTGACAGAACCGGGCACAACTCTGGACAAACAAGGGACTCTGGATGCTCGAACTTGGAGACCTGCTGGATTTCTGAACAGTCTTAGTGCATTTTTCATGCTGCAGGCTGTGAAGCTACTCCTGTCTGCAGGACACTAACATTTACCTCACCATCACCACTGTGCAAATACAATAATTACTGACAATTCCTTCTTTTTTAACTCAAAACATTCCCTTCAATTTCAATTCCCTTCTCTGCAGAATTCTGACCGACCCTGGTGGATTTTATCTCCCTGTATATGTCAGAGAGATCAACAACAGCACCCCTTGTGGTGAAGACGGCCTGCAGTCAGGGAATCACTCTCTGTGTGACAGTCACTGATCACTCCTTCCTCCAGGCAGGATCTTGGGGAGAAGGTAATCAGACAGTGTGTAGCAGGGGAGGAAGAAGAGAGAGGGACGCCATCTGTGGTGAGACTGTGAATGTTCTCCTGCTGCAGGGACTCTGAAGGGGGCTTAACACAGGGACAAAGTCGTGCAGTTTTGGAAAATTGGACCAAAAAAGTCTTCACAAATGAATGTGGTAAAATGTACGTTAAATGTAGAAAACTATTTCTTCCCAAAACTCAAATGTTTGAATATAGAGAAAGTCGGGGAATTCACTCCTCATAGTGAGACTATTTTTGGACATAAACATAGTTTTATTAAATATTTAAAGTCCAGGGCTTCAGCCAGTCAGTTAGTCAGTCAGTGAGTCAGTGAGTCAGTCAGTCTGTTGGTCTGTCTGTCTCTGTCCATCCCTGGCAGTTAACCCCTGTCAGTCAGCTGTCAATCCCAGTCCAGATCCTCTGAGACAAAGCTCATATCTCATTTCACACATATCTATCTCACTGTCATTGATTTTTCATTCACTCAGAGAGAAATGGATTCTCTTTCCTTCATCACAGAGGAGGAGGAGGAGGAGGAGGAGGTGCAGAAGGAAGAAAGGCTGGCAGACGGTCGCCAGGAGCCTGATGAAGGCATCAGTTCAATGTAATCTGTTTCTGGAGCCTTCAGTTATTTGGTTCACCCTGAATTGAATCTGTCTTTTTTGTTGTGTGTGAAAAGAGAGAGAGACAAAGAGAGAGAGAGCTTGACAGACACTGTACAGATGTGAACTTTTTTTTTTTGCCTGAAAATGTAAAGGAGCCCAACCTGTGCTCCAGTAATGAACGGCTCCTGGTTGTGAACTCCGGTCACACCTTCATTCCCTCTTTCTTTTTTCTTCTTCCTCTTCCTCCCGCTCACACTTGGCAGAGGTATCTGGAGGTGCAAATCAATGTCTGTGGTAATTAGCCTCCAAGCCTCGGGTGAACATCGTGTTGCGACGTGTCGGCTGATTGTTATGCACTTGCTTCCAGAAAGAAGCCATTGATCACGGAGAGAACAGGAGACTTCAGTGAGCAGAAACGCACGCTCCACAGCAAAGCTACGATCTGGAAACCTGCAGGTACAGTGAAGGAACTACAGACAAACAGAAGCAGATTTTTTTTGTTGTCAGATTAAATTACTGCTTTCAAAATAGAAGAACGAGCAGATCAAGAAGTCGTTCATCTTTGACTGATGAAACAATTTTACACACACACTTTTTCAGCTTGCTTGCTAGCAGCAAATCAACATCAAGTCCGTGTCCCTCCTCAGCTAAGTTCAGGTGGTTACATTTTAAATTTCTATATATAAATATATTTTAACCTCACTATTAAAAACTAGTATCATATACTGCACTACTGCCCTCAAATATTTGTACTGTATTTTTATAGATTTTTTTCCAGACATTTTAACATTAAGGTACTACCACTGAGTTGCAGTTAAACAGATGCTTCTCCAAAACCAGGAGGAGGCAGCATTTAAGGACTAAACGTTACGATGAAGAACAGCAATCCTCCAAAACCAGGCAGCATTTAAGAACTAAACGTTACGATGAAGAACAGCAATAACTCAAAAGACAAAACAATCACGTGTCAAGTGTTTGGCAGATGGAGAACTCTCAGATTAAATCACACTAACACAAAAGCAGCAGATGTGAATAAAAAAAATAAAAAAATGTAACAATGAAACAAACCAAATTCAGGCAGAAGACTTGACATCTTAACTCAACCTGGCTCCACTGGAACCTCTTCCCGGACTCTTTCACTGCAGCGTTAATTTCCTCCTCTCACCTTTCCGTCGCCCTCCTCTGTGAAAAGAGCACTTTCCATTATGCCACAGATTCACATTAAGACGAGGTGGAAACAGGCAGCTACCTGCAATTATCTCTGCTCATCCAGCCATGGTGCTGAGCAACAGCTGGCCCTATCACACACACACACACACACACACACACATTCACCCTAGCCATTCTTCACTCACCTGCCAGTCAGCAGCATGTTTAATAAGGGCATCGTTCACAGGAAACCACAGAGGAAAATGAAGAAACAGACACAGACACACGAGCTGAGAGTGTGTGTTAGTCCTGTATGATAAACATTCAGCCACTGCACAGCCATTAGTCAACACTGGTTGGTTGGATAACATATACACCAGCGAATGAATGTTAAGTCAAAAGGACAGAGAGTAAAGCGCACACGCACACACACACACACACACACACAGAGCCCGAGTGGTGATTTATCTCAGGGTCCCTCTGCAGCTTTTCTCTTTATCTCTATCTGTTTGCCACAGGCCCAATAAGAGCAGAGCCCAGGTCTTTGATTCTGTCAGAGGCAATGGATGGTGTCAGACCTCAGAGACCGAGTCTCTCACTGCTTCACACACCAACACTGGTCAGAGCTAGAGGGGAAAAAATGTGCAAAGTTGGATTATGTTGAGTGATGTCCATTTTATCTTAAAGTTATAAATATCTCTGAGGATTTCCTTTGCCAAGACATTTAGCAGTTTGGTTTTTGCAACATATGCAGATCCTCATTGGTCCAATCTAACATGCTGGATGGTCCGTGATGTTTGGTATGAGAACGTGGGCTAGAAGGTCAGAGTACAAGATGCTGGGACTTTGTGACCTGGCTGGACAGAAGGAGAAATGAGCAGAACCCAGAAAAGTTGACGATCTACTCTGGTGACCTCTGAAGGAACTTTAAAAACTTCTCAGATCGATCTTATGGTCAGTTTGTATTGTTCCTGTTAAAGGCCACATACAGGTTTGAACTAGTTTGTGGAAGATCTAACATTAGACATCAGTCATGGAGGTCAACATGTGGGTGAGTTTCACCTGCAGTGCAGACCTTAACTGGGGAACTCTCTGAAGAAACAAATGTCCTGGTCTGATGCGTTAAAGGGCAAGAAATCCTCCAAATTAAAACCTAGTGGTCATTCTCCTCCCGGTCTATTGTTTTGAGTTCACACAAAAGGAAAAGTTTCCTCATCAGTTCTGGCAAAGGCACAGAGAAAGAGAGAGCGAGAGCAGAACCGCTCCTGCTAACAGACCAGAGGGCATGTTAGCAGAGTGCTTTGTCAAATATAGCCTGACTTCCCATCTGTTCTCACAAGTGCAGTCATAAGCAATCCTGCAGATCTATGAAACCTATCTCCTGCTCTCCTCTGCTCACAGCTGCTGAGGCAGCACCTGGATTTAAATGAGTCGACTGACAGCCGCAGCACACGGGCACCATTCATTTTTTTGGACCCCGCTGTTATATATGCAGTGTGACAAATTACCCCCGGGGGCCGCTCCACCTCTGCTCCACATTATAGTGAAGGAAGTTTGTTCTGATGGATGACGGGTAACAAAGAGCAACGTTCTGGATGTGCGGAAGCCACCGCCACTGTCTGTAGTTAAATTACCAACGTCTGTCAGCCTAACGGTCGCAAGGAGGATTTTTATCATTTCAAGTTTCAGTGGGTCATCAAGTCCAACTAAATCACAGGAGAGAAACAAGTCTTAGTTAGCCACATGTTAGAGAAACTGTAAAATCTCGACTATGACTCAAAGTATCAGAAGATCGACTTTCTCCCTCGGTCTAGCGGTTTATTTCCACACATGAGTAACAGCAGTCGTATTGATCAGATCTAAAATGGCTCAGGTTTCACTTTTAAGTATATCTGGGGTCAAAGTGTCCTTCCCTGTTGAAACTACAGCCTGAAACCTGAGACGTTTCCTGCTTGACATCAACATGAATTTCATTTATTTCCTTCAGCTCTGGTTGTAATGACGCATTAATAGTGGAATATATTGACATTTAAATGCCGGTAATTAAATTACAGCCTAAAAGGAATCAATGAAAATGACAAAATCCTAATAATCCTGCAGTTGATGGTGACATTTAGAGGAAAGAGTCCAGGCTACTGCTGCTGCTGCTGCTGTTGTCAGGCTCCATATTTAGCACAAAGACCCGAGAGTGATGTCAGTGCTCACAGTGAAGGGGAAGTGAATTACAGGTAGTGTGTTTCCCTGAAAACGTCAGCCATTACTGACTGTAATTCTTCAGAGAATAAATCAGGAGATAATTCTAAATTGGAGAAGGTGACTCACTGGTTCTCCTGAAATCATCTCGAAATCTGCTTCAAGAATAATTATGATTTATTTTTTTAACTTTTTTGTTTGTATTGGATCCAGACATTTTAAAATCTACACCACTTTCAGGAAAGACTCCTGGATCATGTTCTCCACCTGCTCCACCAGCTGCCTGTAGTCCTGCTGACAGACACTGTAGTCCTTCCTGTTCTGCTTCAGACTCTTCATCACATCTCTGTGAACTCCGGGCTCTTTCGCAGTCGACGCTAGCGTCTGCAGCTGCTGCTCAGGATCCTCTGGAATATTCTGTTCTCTCAGAGCTTTGAACACAGCAGGAGCAAATTTCCCGTAGTGCGCGGTGGAACAAAGCACCATGGGGCAAGTGGAGCCACCCCGCAGCCTGTCTGCCACTACTTTAGCCACAGCGGTGTGAGTGTCCATGATGTAGCCCGTCTGTGTGTGAAGCTCCTGGATGGCGGCCAAGCAGTCGTCCTCTGAGCACCAGCCGCCGCTCACTTCCTGCTGCATCCTGCCAAGAAGATGCTCGGGAAGCTGGAAGTGCTGATTCCTGTCTAATCGAGTGAACAGATCTTTGACCAGACGAGCGTCTCCGTCTGAGACGTGGTAGATAAACCTCTCCAGGTTGGATGATTTCAGGATATCGATGGCGGGGGAATGGGAGAGCATCAGGGGTCGTCCTCTCAGATCATACTCTCCTGTGGAGATAAAGTCTGAGACCACGTGGTTGTGGTTGGAAGCACAGATGATTTTTCTTATCGGGACTCCCATGTGCTTGGCATAGACGGCTGACATGGCATTGCCAAAGTTGCCGGTGGGGATGCAAACGTCAATGGGCTCCCCAAAGTTAATAACACCGTCTCTGCACAGATCCAGATAAGCAGAGGAATGGTACACCACCTGTGAGAGGAGTGGAGTCAGGAAAAATGTTTGAAGTGGGTGGAGGAAAGGTTTAACAGATGGAACACAATTATTCATCAAATCAATGACAAAACAAGTAGAAATCAACTAATTTTAGGAAAAAATAAAGATGAAATTAAATTTTTTAAAAAGAAGGCAATGATGTAATTCAAGGTCAGAAACTGTTTAAAAAATGTGTAAAAAGTTTTTCAAAGAAACTAATGTGACATTCAGAGGAAACTAATAAACTGTGATAAAACCTGACCTGTGGCAGCAGCCGCGCCCAGTTGATGGAGTTGGCCGTACTGAGGACAGTACCATACTCCACAGCCAGGTGTCCCGTCAGCCCTGACTCTCCAAACATCTTCTTGATGGACCTCTGACAGAAGTCAAAGTCTGAGCGAACGCTGACGGCGCGAGCGTTTCCGTCCCTGAAGCTCAACATCTGCAGCTTCTGAATCTCACTCACTCCCTCCTCTGGAAAAAACACCAACACTCCCGTCTTGTGTTTGCCTGCCCCCTGGAGGCGGCTGAAGCCGCTCAGCACGGCGCTGCCGGTGTCTCCAGATGTTGCCACCAGGACCAGGAAGTTACACATGGGAGGGAGGCAGTGGGCAAAGAGCTGGGGCATCAGCTGCAGAGCGAGGTCTTTGAAAGAGGCGGTGGGACCATGGAACAGTTCCTGGATGTACTGATCGTTCTGGAGATGTTTCACAGGAGCAACTGCCTCACTGGAAAAGTTTGCTCCGTAGGACTTGAAGACCATGGTTCGGAGATCTTCGGCACCAACGTCCATGGGATGTATGCACTTTTCTAGAAGAACCAAAGCTCTTTCTGGATAACTCATGTCAGACAATCTCAGCCATTCGCAAGCTTCAACTTTTGGAAGGCCATTTTTGGGAACGTAGAGACCTCCATCTGAAGCTAATCCTTCAACGACCACATCACTGAATGACCTCTGATTGGACGAGTCCATGTTTTCACACCTGGTGGAAACCAAGGTTCCTTCAGCATGGTTCATATATCTCTCCACAGCCTTCAGCACCTTCTCTGCCACCGTCTCCACTGTCTCTCCTCTCCCACACAGCACCCTCACGTCCAACCATTTCTCATAAAACTGTTTCCTGTACTGCAGAATGTTCCTCATGGAAACTCCAGCCTCCTGGCCCACGATCCTGTTCACCTTCATCCTGTTGAGCCTCTGTATGATGTCTTCGCTGTCCACGTCCAGGTAGACCACCAGACCAGTCTCTCTGACACGCTCCATGGCCTCAGCGTGAAGTGGGTTTGATCCAGTTAGAGAAACAACGCAGCCAGTAGCGGAGAAGTTGCACAAAGCCTGACCTTCCTCATGGAGGAAACGCTCTCCACCCACAGATTCCAGCTTGGCAGCCACGGGCATCTTCCACGTGGTCTCCAGGACGTCATCGTCCACATCAATGACAGGCAGTCCCAGTCTGTGGGCCACCAGTCTGCCCACTGTGGTCTTCCCTGCACCTGGTGGACCCATGAGAAAGATGTTCCTGTCCTCTAAAGGACCACTCCTGGTGGACATCCATGTTTTAGATGATGGTGGTGAGCTGAGGGGCAACCTGGCAGCTCTTAGAAAATGGTGACAACTTTTCAGCCAAGCCATTCTGCAAAACAATGTTCAAGGTTTTATCTTTAAAAAATGTATTTATTGTGTACTATTAATATTTCCTGTTGAGAATTTTTTTTGTTTTATAGTTTAAATACAATATAATTTTATTAATTTAATTTCTTTATTTTAGTAAAATAAGAAAAAGTTGGAAGTGACAAAATTTAAATGAACATCAACGTTCCATATAAAACACTTCATGTGATGCTACTATGTGGATTTATTAGCTGTAGTTAATTATATATATATATTCAATAAACTCAACCTTTATTAGCGTGATATCTCTAATCAAAACAACGACTTTACAGCGCGCAGTAATTCAAAAGTTAACTTGTATAACGTAGCAGTAATAGCAAACTTGGTATCAGCGACTAGTGTCTGCACTTTACACGTGTTTTGCAGACACAGACATGCAAACGACACGGGTCCGATTTAAAATAAAAAGAGTAAAAATCACTCACGTAAACATCTAACTGTCACTGGGTTTAAACCAGATTATTATTGTTTAGGTTAAGTTTTGTTAAATACATGGCGATACACAGCTCTGGGTCCTCGCAGATGTCAGCTTTCGTCACCAAGTACGGGCAGCCTAGAGGGACAAAATTAATATCAGCCACAGTTGCGGCACAGCCGGATATACAAGGAGCTTAGCTCTTTTAAAATGTGTTATTTAAACAGTTTAATAAACAGTTAAATATCTGATTTAAATAATATTCTGAACTTCGATCCCCAGAAATAAACAAGTTTATCGCTAGCGAGAAATCCGCAAAACCGCTGAGACTGTGCTGGATTCAAGTTCACAGCTTTAGCTCGGAATTTGGAAATGTTTACTCATTGGGCAAAAAAAAATTAAAAACCAAAAAAAATTGAGATTTTTGTTTCTTTGAATATACGACCTTTTATAAAACAATGTTTTACACACATTTGGCCAAGAAGCAGTCTCGAGGTTTAATGAAAGGGTTACCATTAAATATAAAATAAAAGTGTACGATGGTCATGAATGCAACATTTAAGCTCTTTGTTGCCTAGTAACAGCGGTAGTGTGTCATCAAACCTTTAACGGAGCTTAGAAAAGTTACAGATAATGCTGTTCTTAGCTTTATGTAATGTCAATATTGTCTACTGTCAGCTCTGACAAAATTAACTTTATGTAGAGTCAAAATTTTCTAACATTTTGTTTCAACTAACTCGAACTAAATCATTATTTATTTTCATTCATCAGGCGGGTCTAACTAGCTCTGAAGCTACGCTACAAGTATTTAATTTAAAAAAATAGTTTGCTTAGTCATTAAACATGTCTAATGTTTTATATCCAAAGGAAAGTGTGTACAACCCTTTGACAAAAGCCGAGGTCGAACCTCCGAAACCACCCAGGTATGTCTGCAATATTTCTATAAAATTGAAAAAAGTAAATTAATAACTTTTCATTAGCCGTTATGATTCTCCTTAAATTACTTTGGAAAATTTATAAAATCTAACCAAATAATATAAACCCAAAAACAAAAATATTCTCAAACTTCATTTGTTAGAATGTGTTTGTGTTTTATAAAAACACTGTAAAATTAATGAATATAAGATAAAGTTATTTTACACACTTTTCTTGAATAAGTGTGTTTTATTTAGTTTTACTATATGTGTGAGGTGTATGATGTTAAATTCCTAAATTCATATATTCAACGATTCTAAATCCTGGGTCAACCCTCTCTGTATCTGAAGGTATATATCCAAGTTTCGACCCAATGTTATCCTTGAGAAAAAGCAGAAACAGGATGCGAGGAGGACGATGGGACCAGCGAAGGTAGACGTGCCGGTGCCGGACCAATACCTTAAAAAGCATTCAACAGAAACCAAACTGCAGGAAAGTGAGTTTTTCTGTAAACCTTGGTGCCTCTGCATTTGTCTGTGATGTTGGTTCTGACCTGATCATTTTTCATCAGAATCTGAGAATGCAAAAGAAGTTCGCGGCTCTTGCACAGCCAAGAAGCCACCGGTGCCTACCAGGGCAGAAATCCCAACCATGGGCATTCAAACCAAGAGAGACTTTGTTAGGACGGTGACAACAGCAGCTCCAACCAAGCCTCAGCCGACAAGTGTGGACACCAGAAAGGGACACAAGCAGCTGCTGGAAAATTCAGGACTGGTTCCCAAGTACATCAGGAAAAAGGTAAGACACTGCCATTAAGGACTTGCTGCCTCTCATCGAATCCAACAAATCTGGAAAGTTGCCTTTGTCTCTCTGCAGGATTATGGGGAAGTCCCTGAATACCTTCTCCAGCGAAACGAGGAAAAGCAGCGAGCTCAGGAGGAGTATGACATGTTTGTGAAGGAGCAGCAGGAGCAGGGAGCCATGACGCACCTGTCGGACGCAGAGCGACAGGCTGTGTTGGAGGTACACGCCAACACACGGCTGCACAGCTGCAGCCTCCCATCCTGAGGGAGACGACATGTGGGAGGAGAGCAGAGCGCAGGAAATAAATGAGATGAACTGAAAGTCTGTGAAGTAAAAGGATTAAAAACTTGTCCATCAGAAGTTGTACAAAAGTACCTAAAGATAATCCTTTAAAATTAAAAAAGGTTTGTGCCAAAGCTAACAGCTAACTTTATTCGATTATTAGCTTTTATCTAGCTAATCTACTATTCATGAAATTACTACTGAACCAGCCTATGGTTACCTTACACATGAAGTATACTCCAAGATTCCATGGTTTCCTTACACATGAAGTATACATATATAAGTAGTAGCTAACGGCTAGCTAACCTAAATGTTATAAGTAGTAGCTAACGGCTAGCTAACCGAGAACAGCGCAAATAATAGAATAATAAACAAAATTAGATCAATAGAAAGATTCTTTATGAATGCATTTTTAAATGCAGATTATCAAACTGTTGTGTTTCTTTTTACTGTACTTCTCCAGGGCCTGAAGAAGAACTGGGACGAGCTGCACCAACAGTACCAGAGCCTGTCGTTCGTCATCGACACCCTGTCAAAAAAAGCCCACAAGGAACGCCTGGAGACGGCCATGAAGACCCTGGAGGCCGACATCGACCTCTTTGAGAGGTTCAAAACCATCTACATACCCAAACACTAGGAAACGAATGGAACTTGATCTGATAATTCTGATCTAATGAACTAAACAAAAAAATCACAAACTAAATATTAAAACATGATTTCACATCTTTAATTCAACCTTCTATGTCAAAAAAACCTCACAGAATGTTGGGGAAAAGTGAAGATTTCATTCTGCCTCTCAATAAAAAAAAACCACAGCTCAGAAACTGAACTGAGTTTGTGTCTCTGGCTGGTTTCCTTCCTCCTCTGTCTGACTTGTGATGTAGCCACATGCACAGCATCACATGAAGCCGATTATCCCTGTCATTCTGCTGCAACACAACAACACTGTCCTCTGTTCCACTGTTTAAACCCAAACGACTGCAGTGTGATGCAGCCAGACACGAGCTCAACGGAAAGCATTTGACTTCTTGACTGAGAGCTGTTTTTTTGTTTTTTTGTCTAGTGTTTCGTGTGTTTTGGGGGGGAAACAAATAAACGGTAAGAAATTATTCATTTATCTCTTCGTATGTTTTGTCATTTCAATTCTGCCTTTTGCTGAAACTTAAACTTCTTAAATTTCTGGTGTTTATTAAATCTGTTTTCTACTACAGGTTACAACGTCTGAGGTTTTCACCCTGACAGCTCTTTGACTGATGCAGAGATGGACAAAGGAATTGTGGTACGTCAAAGTCACGTGGGCCTTTTTTTTGCAGAGGCTGCAGTATATACAAACACAGGCATTAGCTGTAATATATTCAAATGATAATTATACATTACAGAGGTAACAGTAATGCTGTTATATTGAAAACACAGGCAGAAAATAGTCTGAATTTCCAGTTTTTAGTAAGATACTTGAAAAATATATTTCTTCTACTACATTAAAAAAAATCTTTACACTTTACACTACACAAAATAAATCAAAATTCTAGAGATGTCATGTGTGTGTGTCCCAGATAAAGGACGAGTGGCCTGGTTACAGTCTGGACCTGTTCACGTATCCAGAACACTACAGTGGGGACATCGAGTGTGTGTACATTCCACACGGGGTCATTATGGACAGGTAAAGAGGCTTCTGAACGCACACACGGACACACCTGTCCCCTGTCTTCACGGCTCCTCGTGTCGACCTAACCTGCAGGGTGGAGCGCCTGGCCAGTTACATTAAAGAGGACTTTGGAGACAACGACAACATCGTGGTGCTGTGTGTGCTGAAGGGCGGCTACAAGTTCTGCTCCGACCTGGTGGAGTTCATCAAAATCCTGGGTCGGAATTCCAACAAGTACCTGGAGACCAGAGTTGAGTTCATCCGACTAAAGAGCTACCTGGTGGGTGACGAGGACGGAAAAGGAAATGAGCAAACACGTTAGCTAGATGTTTGAATAGAAATACACACAAAAAATTAAAAGACAGACATTTACATGTTCATACATTTACTTGACAATGTATGACATAATAACTAAACTAAATAATTAACAAAAATCCCCTGCAGCACTACATCAGTTCAGATATAGCGACAATTTAACTTTTTTATTTTACTTCAACGAAGAAAACAATCAAATATTAACTCATTAATCCATTTTGTCCCAATTATTCCACCACAACTTTGTTATGCCTAATTCCGGCCACCGAATGTCGCTGTTGCTCCTATTTGCTCCTGAAACCAGTGAGACCGTTTGACGGTGTAAATCCCATGTCACAAAACACTCGTCTCTGATAAATCCTGCCAGGAGAAATACTCCTCCGCTCTGCCTTTAACCCCCGGGGAAGTAATTTAATTTACTGATGTAATAGTGGTTAAATTTAATTCCATCTCTTGCATAATCTTTCACCAGTGTTATCATTTGTCAGACTGTGGTGTGTCTTGGCCGAGAACTCCTCCACTGTAATGCCCCTGATTTACTCAGTGTTTTCTTTGAATGCGGTCTCACTTTTACATTATGTTTTCCTTATACAATACAAGGGAGGATTTACAGCGTTTATATTCAGAGGTTAATCATGTGGCTTTGAGTTGGTACAACAGAAGAATGGCTTGAATTAAAAATAGATATTTATCCAATGGCTAATAGTTAAATCCACAACAGCCGAACACATACCTTCACCGCTGTGATGAAGATTTACTTTTTCACAGAATGACCAGTCGACCGAGGACCTGCACATCATAGGGAGCAGAGATCTGTCTTTCCTGCGTGGGAAGGTACAGTATGTATTCAGTCAGACTTTTGCTCTTGTTTCCATGAGAACCTTTTCATGCACATTAAATTTAACTAGCCATCCATTCTAGGTTTCTTTTTACTGCTAAAACACACGTATTAAATCTACATAAACATACACGAAGGATTAGGTTACAGGGAGATTCTAATCTGATCTCACTGTGGCTCTGAAGTGTCTTCTGCTGAGTGTATTTCTTTATATGACAGACTAGTGACCAGGGTCGTAAATGAGCTCCAGGCTAAAAGCCCCCCCAAAAAACAATCCAGCAAATAGGAATAAAGATCAGAAATAGATACATTTGGCAACAAAAAGACAACACAGGGATTCAAAGATTAGACAATATTAGTAAAGTTAGCAAAAAGAAAATTGAAGTTAAATGCTAGCAGGATATAGACATCAGTCAATAATGGATACAAATGTTGAAATTGTAGCTAAAGTTAGCAAACACTTAGCCCATACATGTGTACAAGTTAGCACAGATATAATGTAGAACGTGGCTAAAAGTTGGGTAAAGATTAGCCCAAT